TAAATTATGTACGTAAATTAATTTGTAATAAAAATCATATAGATTGATCAAATTGTTGCTATATATAATGTGAATGTAATACCTGCTACCATGTATTGTTCAAACTTAAATCCATGTGAATATAGTTTATTTTGCTTGTCATTGACAAGTTGACCTTCATCTGTATAATATTCGCATAAGTATATTGTACCACGATATCTGCTGGCACAAATAATCCATCCTTTATACTTCTTATACGGGCTAGAGAATATTGTTTTTAATGCACCACGGCGGCAAACAAAGTCTACACTCAACCTAATTAATAATAAATGCGGTTAGTGTAAGAATTATCATTTGTTATCATTAAGTTTACTTGTAAAAACCTAGATAGTACAGGACGTTCTGAAGTCATTCAGAGCAGCGATCATATAATTTTGTCTCAAAAACAGAAAAGTTCCACGTGAACTTGACGATCTTAGCGACCATATAACTTGTGTAAAAAAATGTCAGTTTTTTTATGTAAAATTTCACTTTTCACAAGTTTATGCTACGGAAAAGATACATAATTGGTACCCTGAATGTGTCCAAGATGTCCTGGAGGATTTTGTAGACGTTTTGGACACGTTCGGGATGATTCTAGAATATCGTATACTATTTGAACAATTATCATTTATTATTATTTATATTTAAAATAGTAAGAAATATATATATACATATATTATTTAATAACATACCAATGTCTCTCGTTCGGTGATAATGGTTTTTCAAGCTGGTTAAAATTGTCTGAAATCCATCTTAATATATCATCCAATTTGATATATGAATTAGGTTTGTGACAAGTAGACGCAGCATTATAATCAAGATCATAATATATATTGTTAGGATCTGAAGGGGGAATATAATATTTTAATTGCGATAAATCAGCGTGATATTGCAAATCACCGTCAATACTAAAAGATCCAATTAATTCGATTGTTAATTCTGGGAGCTTTTTTTTGGAAAAATATTCAATTTTAAACATTGTAGATTACTTATTAATATTGCGACACTGAAGATTTTCACTACGATCCGATCACTGTCACTATGTGATACTGATACTGAATAACGTTTAACGATTATATCTTATCTGCATTATGCCCCATGCAATTATGACTCATTGGAAGAATAAAGCGAAATCTATACGGAATGGAAGTCTTATCTAGATTTACCGTTTAAGTAAACTATCGTTATAAATTATCGTTTAGAATTACACCTGCCATTATTTATTATTCACGTCATCCCTTGAGGCTCGATATATAAAGTGTTACAGAATATTATTGTAGCAGAAAATTAAATGTTCTTTTTAACTGCACTGTTGAACTAGTACAATAAATTAAAGTGAAACACATATACTTCCTCTTACTCTAATTTATCGCACTAATTCAGCAGTACAGTTAAAAAGAACAAAACATGTGAAAATCCTTATTCTTTCATACTTTACGCAGTTTATTTTTTAATATACAAAACTGTAAAAGTCAATCAATTACAAAGTTTAATTTATTTTAAATAGCTATCAGCAAATCTCATAAGGTAGTTTCATCATACTAGTCTCATCATGTATCTCTTATGCGCTCATAGACGTTAGACAAATGATTGTTATTCGCATTGATCCACGAAAATATTAGTTGGCGAATTATCGCAAAATAAAAATGGTTGTTTATGTTGATGTATGTGTATGTAAGATATAATTTGAAAAATAAATAAGACTTTAATAATCATGATACAATTAGATACAATTAATTTATGCAATTTTTCTATTTTTTTTCTTATTAATACAAATTTTCTAAAACTATAAGAAAATTATAAAATCAGATATTTCTTTTATATGTGAATGTATGTACATTACAAAGATGATACAATATCTTTCTAAAGTTATACAAGTTTTTCTCTCTCTCTCTCTCCGTCTTGCAATTATATTAAAACTTAAATTTATTG